ATCTGGCCTGAGTGGCTGGAAGCTGAGGGCACACCTTGACTTCAGCGCTGCAGCAGGGCAGGCTGGGGGGAAACTGAGGTGCTTTCCAGAGGCTCAAGGGTCCATGACTGGAGACAGTTAGCCATGTGGGCTTGGAGCTCAGGTGTGGACAGGCTGGTGACCCCAATTAAGTCACATTCACAAAATGAATCCCTCCAGAGGCTCAAGGGTCCATGACTGGAGACAGTTAGCCATGTGGGCTTGGAGCTCAGGTGTGGACAGGCTAGCGACCCCAATTAAGTCACATTCACAGAGTGAATCCCGTTGGCTCAGCTGTTTAGTGAGTCTGGTAAAAAGTTAATTAAGCCAAGGGCTGGCTGGTTAGCTCAGTTGATTAGAGAGCAATGTTGTAACACTGAGGTCGATGGTTTGGATCCCCAGACCCCCGGACCAGCCAGCTGCCAAAAAAAAAGTTACTTAAGCCAGAATCATCCCAAGTTGTGTCATTTACCCCTTTACACACGCATGTAGCTAGTGTCTCTGAACACACGTGTTAGTCTCCTGTGATTTCTTCACGTGTGATCACTGCTATAACAACATGAATGAGATGCTGTTTAACACGTTTGTCCAAGTTATAAGCTCTGTACGTGCGACCCTCAGACATCACCCCCATTTACAACCTCAGAGCAGGTTCACTCACTACTTCCTAGTTCTTAGGGATTTCTCCTATCTAAATGAGTCCTCAAAAATAATGGCGACCTCAAATAACATCTGTTATTTCCTTAAGCATTTTCACGTGCATCTTAAGAGGCCCTGCTGATTTAGAAACACCTATCTTAAGGGCCGGCCTGTGGCTCACTTGGGAGAGTGTGGTGCTGATAACACCAAGGCCACGGGTTCGGATCCCATATAGGGATGGCCGGTTAGCTCACTTGGGGGAGCGTGGTGCTGACAACACCAAGTCAAGGGTTAAGATCCCCTTACTGGTCATTTTTTTTTTTTTTCCTTTTTGTCTTTTTTTCGCGCCTGGCAACGGATCGCAACCCTCAGTGTCGCGCCCGCACCGGACCGGGACCGGCAACGGGACTGCAACCCTTGGTGTTGCACCCACACCTCGCTCAGCCAGTGAGCGGGAACCGGTCTGTATGTGGGATCCGAACCCTCAGTGGGAGCGCCACCGCACTCCCAAGCGGCACACTGTAGCAGTGCGTCACCGGGCCGGCCCTAATGCAGATTTTCTTTACCACAGATACCGTGAATGTTGTTCAGATTNAGTGAGCCACGGGCCGGTGCTTGCTCAACAACTTTGTACTGAGCACCTCTGTATGACAGCTGGAGTTCTGAAGATGATCAGAAACAGGCAGGGTCTCTGCTTCACGGAGTTTATAGTTTAGAGGAGAAACAGACATAAACAGTCACACAAAGGAGAGTGTAATTACAGACTGAGAAAGGGGTCAGCCAGCAGGGCTCACAGTGTGGCCAGCCCCAGCAGCACCAGCAGCATCTGGGAACTTAGTGAAATGCAAATTCTTGGATCCTCCCTCAACCTGCTGAATCAGAAACTCTGGGGTGGGATTCAGCAATCCCTATTGTGACAAACCCTCAAGGTGAGTCTGAACAACTGACAGAAGCCAAAGAAACCTGACCTAGACAGTGGAGCCGAGGAAGGTTTCCCTAAGGAAGTGACACTGAGTGGAGAGCTGCAAGATGAGGGAGAAGCACATAAACAGAGAGAAGAGCATGTGCAAATGCCCTGTGGTGCCAGGGAGGCTGGTGTGTTTAAAGAACCAAGAGAAGGGGAATGTCTGAGGGCCCTGCAGGCTGTGGCAAGGAGCTTGCCCTGGTTCCTCAGAGTAATGAGAAGCCATTGAGGAGCAGGGCGACTTGATCAGAATTGCATTTCAAAAAGTTAAACGACTTGTCCAGATTAAGGGCAGGAGCAGGGCTGTAGTACTAGGATTGGAAAAGAAGGCATGGGTCCTGGGAAACCTTTAGAAGCAGGGTTGACAGGAGTTAAGGGCACCTCTGATGTGAGAGGAGGGAGAAGAGGGGCTGCTCTGAGACATCTGGCCTGAGTGGCTGGAAGCTGAGGGCACACCTTGACTTCAGCGCTGCAGCAGGGCAGGCTGGGGGGAAACTGAGGTGCTTTCCAGAGGCTCAAGGGTCCATGACTGGAGACAGTTAGCCATGTGGGCTTGGAGCTCAGGTGTGGACAGGCTGGTGACCCCAATTAAGTCACATTCACAAAATGAATCCCTTTGGCTCAGCTGTTTAGTGAGTCTGGTAAAAAGTTAATTAAGCCAAGGGCTGGCTGGTTAGNTCCGAACCCTCAGTGGGAGCGCCACCGCACTCCCAAGCGGCACACTGTAGCAGTGCGCCACTGGGCCGGCCCCACTGGTCATCTTTAAAAAAAAAAAAAAAAAACTACCTTAAAAAATATGTTCAGTTAGGGAGAAATTGGTGAACGCACACAAAAAATGTTTACATTGTGTAATGATAAAATTTTAAAAAAATATGTTCAGGGGCTGGCCAGTTAGCTCAGTTGGTTAGAGTGTGGTGCTGATAATACAAAGGTCCAGGTTTCGATCCCTGCACTGGCCAGCCACAAAAAAAATATATATATATATCTTTGGCCATTTCTTGTCTGATCTTTGTTTTCCCACAGCCTTTCCAACAGTGTGATGTCACCTCCCAGGCCTCTGTGCAAGAAGAGGGAGTTGTTTTGTCACCAATCGAGTTTAATCCTAAACTCACTCCAGGACTGTTGTTCCAGCTCAGCCAGCAGCCCTCGCCATGGGTTCGTAGAAAGAACTTGGGCCTGGAACTCCACAGGCCACACAAGTCCTGCCACTCTCCCTGGTTCTAAATGTGGAGTTAGAGGAGGGGAGCTCCATGGCCCTTAAGAGAAGCCTGTGGATAGAACCAGAGGGGGCAAATGGAAGCCTGCACCCAGACATTGCAAAGACAGGCTTACAGGCACAATTACTACTCCAAAAAGGATTTAATTAAAACAACAAAAAAAGGATTTTTTGATTTTACTCTCTTGCTAACTGGTGTCATGAGAAATGGCAAACTACAGAGGTCCACTCTGACCTCCCTCCTGCCCCTTTTCACCCCATTTATAAGAGCCACCTCCTCTTCCACATGCATACTGCTTGCTTCCTTTGAGCCACCAACTGCCCCAGTGGTGTTCCAACAGCTGATTCTCTGACAATGGAAGACAGGGACAACGCTTTGGGACGGCCACCAGCAGTCTGTGGCACATGATCCAGTGGATGAGAGCTCCAATGACCACGTGGAGGGGGCTGATCCAAGCAGGTCTAGCTCGGAGGAAATTGAACGTAGGGGGCTGACCGGTTAGCTCAGTTGGTTAGAGTGGAGTGTTGAAACACCAGGGTCAAAGGTTCAGATCCCCAACCAGCCAGCCACCAAAAGAATAAATAAACCTGAACATAGGTGACCCATGGGAGACTGCCACCGTGCCAAGTGGAGCAGGTGGCAATGTAACTGGGCTCTGGAGTTGGAGGGTCGGATGCATCCAGACAAGATGTGTCTTACCAGCTGTGTGACCTGGGACAAATTACCTAATGTCTCTGAGCCAAGGCCACCTCAGTAAATTGTGATAATAATGTGATAATCAGTCTGTGATGGTTTCTATGGAGAGCCCCCAGCAAATGGCAGTAATTCCAGGAAGTCAGGTCACGATGAGGTGGACTCAGGCTGATCTCAGACCAGATCTAGACATCAGTGGATACAAACTGTGCTTATCTTTATTGTCAATGAAAAGAGCCATCTTAGCCGGTTTTTACTTCTCACTTAGCAATTGAGACAGGGAAAGAAAACAAGTGCTGTGGGCTGCGAGTGGGCAAGACAGACCCCCCAACTTTGGGTACTACTACATTGGAGATGACCTCGAGAAGGGTCACGGTGGGCAAAGGGGGGTCGGGAGGCTCAGCGAACAGGTGTGTGTGGCAGGACCCAGGAAGCAGGTGTGGTGGCCGGAGTGGGGAGAGACGGGGCAGGAGTGCGGTGCGGTGGGCACCTCGTTTAATGGACACTTATTGAACACGTCTGTTCAAGCATCTGGTTTGTGCTGGGAAACGGAAGTATGACCTGTGACCTCAAGGAGCTCGTGGCCCAATGGGGATGCCAAGAAGCAAATCAGCAACTGTGAAGACGTGCAGTCAAGGGCAGGGCGGGGTGTCTGGGAACCCCAGAGTCAGCCCGGGGTGCGGGGTGGCGGGCAGGGAACTCTTCAGGAGATAGTGCTCAGCCTGGGTCTTGGAGCAGAGCAGGGTCTGCCAGGAGGAGGATGGACTCACCCTGCCAGCTCTGCCACCAACGGCTGGGAGGAAACAAGCCTTCCAGGCCAGGGCGACGAGAAAGCACAGCCCATTCAGGGTCCAAGAAACCACCAAGGGAGGAAAGCCCAATGGGCAGGGAGTGCCCAGATTGGGGAGGGGTTTGGGCTTTTTCCTGAAGGTGGTGGGAGCCACTGAAGGATTCTGGACAGGGAGTTGACATCATGGTCTCGGGAGTGGGAGAAATTTGGAAGGAGGGAAGGTGGGAGGCAGCGGGTGTGGAATCCAGGGGGAGGGTAGCACCAACGCAGCCAGCAGAGCCTCTGAGAGAGTTTAAGAGGTGGCATCTCGCAGCGCGGGGGCTGGAACGCCACCACGCCTCCGGCCAGTCCCCTTGTGCCTTGTGCTCCCTGCTCACAGTCTTGGGAAAAAGAGGAGTCAGGCGGGCTCTGCTGGGAGGCTGAGCCGGGACCTCGGGCTTCCTGCTCCCCACTGTCACTGTCATCTCCCCAGCCCTGGTCTGGGCACTTGGGAGGTGCTGAGCCTCTTGTATTTGAATTGCAAGCTGGCTGATTTTAACTTGGTTCTGCGGGGGAGCTGCTGGCCCTGCCAGGCTGGGCTCATCCCCACCAGCGGAGGAGATACTCGTAGCTGAGGAAGGTGACAGCATTGACAGGGAAGGCACGGGCACTGTTGATGGTAACCCCCCGGAAGAAGACCCCCAGTCCCTCCTGCCGGACACTGCTGGCCATGCAGTCCAGCACCCCCTGGTACACCCTCCGCCTCAGCCCGTCCATCTGCATCCGGGACTTGATCACGTCTAAGGGTGTGGCTGCGACCCAGGAGGTGATTCCGGCAACCCCCCCTGCCACCAGCACTGTGGCTGAGCCTGGGGCAGAGGAAGTCCAGTGCGGGGGTCAGAGCCGGGAACAGAGCGCCCTCCCCCAACCCCCCTCCCCGGCCCCACCGCACACCTGTCTGTCCCCCACCCTCTTGCACCACTTGACTTACTGGGATTCTGGCCATCTGGCGTGTACTGGCGGCACAGCCCTTCATAGGTGACAAAGTAGATTCCCATTGTGGGGGTGTCCCTCAGCATCAGGGCCCAGGCTCCTCGGAACAGCCCCCGGGGCCCCTCCTCCTGGAAGATGGAGGCCGCGCAGTGCACGGGCCCCCGGTACCGGGCTGGGGGGCTCCCGGACTGGGCCCTTGGCTCTGTCTGGTTTTGTAGCCGGACTTTGATGAGGTCAAATGGGGCCAGGCAGTAGGTCTGTCGGGAAGGAAACGTGAAGGCCCTGGTGGGGCTGTGGGCTGGTAACTGTCCGCTTCTATTAGCAACAGGAAGGGGGTGGGCCGAGCGGGCAGCATCGCCCTGTAGGAACCGCCCGGCTCCCACTGCCTCTCACATGCATGGCTCGGGGTGGACCAGGGCATCCAGATTCGCTGGGGACAGGGCACCTCCCTCAATGTCAGGCCCCTGACAGCAAGCCCCACTCCCTCCTCACGCGCTCAGGGACAAGCCTGGATTATTTTTCCAGGAAGGGGAGGGTACATTTCTGGCCTCCCTAAAACCAGGAATGAGCACTCATTTGTAAAGGAATCAGTCTGTGACAGCGTAACAGCAAAGAACTCACCCCTCCCCAGAGTGCAAGAGGTCACCCCATTGGTATCATTCTAATTATGGAACCCAGCTTCATAGATTGTCCCTCCCTCACTGTGCATGCCACCTCTCAGGGTCCCCAGGTGGGCAAGTGCTAGGCCAGCCCTTCCTGCCTCTCACAAGAGCATGGGCAGGTGGCTGACAGGTGGATTTGGTGGGCTCTAGAACTCTTATTATTGCCTGAGGCAGATGGGACACAGATTTGGGGTAATACTGGGACTGAGCCCTGGGTAAGGGTCGGTGCTGGGGGATGTGGTGTGAGATTGGGGGCAAGGGATTCAGGTTTGGGTCAGGGGTGCAACTGGGTGAAGATAAGCTGTTGAAGTTCAGGTGAGAGGTGAGGCCCCAGCTGAGGTTAGCATATCGCTGGGGGCTTATGTGGTTTTTATTTGTTTTGTCAAAGGTGCATGAGCTCAGTCCCTCAGCCCTGGGGACAGCTGATGGCAGAGGGGGCTGGTGACTGGCTCTGGCGGTGGTCCTTAGAGTGCAGCGGGCCAAGTCTTTCTTTACTTCGCACCCCACAGAAAGAGTAGTAGGTTGGGGACCCTCCCTTGTAAGGTGAGGCCCTGATGCAGCCCTCCAGAGCCTGCTAGCAGGGCTGAGCAGAGGGCTTCTCCAGGGGGTGCTCTCCTGAGTCCTGCGCCCCTGGAAAGGCTGGGCCAGAGGCAGGTGCAGATCGTGCCCACGTGGGCGGTGGAGCATCAGATGCTGCCTCACTGACCAGTCACCTCAGCCAGCCCAAAGCAATTATGTAGCCGTCAGAGGTTGTCAATCCCTGCCTTTTCCTCCTACCTCCACACTAAAGCCATTAGTGCTCCAGGACCCTGTAAACCGAAGTCACAGGCTTGACATAAAACCCAGCCCCCAGCTCCGCTTTCCAAACAGCTGAAGGGGAAGGTGTCTTAGCTGGGCCTGAATCAGGCCGCTTGGCCTGGGGTCTCAGTGCTCCTCCCTGTTCTGTGGGGTGCAGGGCTCGGGGCTCGGGAAACCTGTAGGCATGCACCCTGCAGAAGAAGGGGAGAAGGGAAGCCAGGACCTTTGAGGGTCTCATTAATCATTAATTCACTTGACTGCACAATCTGCTTTTGTCCTTTGTCCTTGCTCTCAGCCCCATGAAATGTGTCAGGGGCATCAGGGCATGTGCCCAGTGAAGGGTGACCCAGGCACCGGCAGGGGTACAGATGGAGCAGGCACTTGTCCCTCTTCCTCTTTGTGTTCAGAGGCCCCATTGGGCAGAGGTTCCCTCCAGTGCCTGGAGGCCTCTCTTCCCTCCACCCCACCCCTCAAAATCACAGCCCTACAGCACTAAGAACAAAGACCAGAACCGAAGGGGTGGGGTGACTTCATTATTAATACCTGGCTTCTCCCAGCAGGATCTATGGACTGGGGCCTCAGGTGAGGCTCACAGATTGCGGTCACCCAGGTGCCGCAGACAAGGGGCTGAGTTGGCTGGGGCTGGGGCGGTTCCAGGACCATGTGGGGACCAGCTGGAGGGGCTGGCATTCTCCAGAGCTAAAGGGCATGTGGAGAGTGGCCCCCACAGTGCTGAGGCTGGCAGCCCTCCAGAGGCGAGCAGGCACAGGTGAGCAGGCATTTTCAGCCCTGCCCCAGCTCTCTCTAACTTTTGTACTCTCTGTTCTCCCTGACCCTCCCCCCAGGCCTGCAGCCTGGAAGGCCACAGCACAGCCAGGCCAGGTCACCGGGAGCAGTGCCTCATGTTCCCCTCAGGAAGGCCTGGCCAGCCACAGCTGCAGGTCACCCGAGGGTGCTGGAAGCGAACAGATGGAGCCCACCATCACTGTGCCACCTGTGTGCGCCCATATGCTGGCCCTCTCACCTGCAGGAACCCCCCGGCGCAGCCGGCAATGAAGACATGTGCGTAGCTGGGAGGCTGAGCCCACCGCTCCTGGTGGGAGGTCGCTGTAAGCACCATCAGGGCATTGCTATAGACCCCAAACTGGACGGAGCTGACCACAGCTATGCTCATGATGGGGAAGCTCATGCCCTTGAAGAAGCCCAGGAGCTGCAAAGGGACACGGTGACACTGGAGTCGGCCTGGTGGGGGCTTCCCCTTTCCCTTTCCAGCCCTGGCAAGGCCTCTTCTGGCTGGAAACTACTCCTGAGCCCTGCCACAGGAGGCGGCGGCAGGCTGAGGCTCCACCCCTGGGGTGCTAAGCTACCACCCAGCCCCCCACCCAAGGATCCCAGACAGAGCCCCTGGAAGCTGGTGGCGACTGCCCCAGATGCCTCCCACCGCAAAGAAGTGGGCCACCCACCGACTCATGGCGGTAAATCTTGACCATGCAATCGACTATGCCCTGGTACGTGGTCTGGGTCTGCAGCCGCACCTGGATGGGGAGGACAGAGCAGGTGGGGTGGAGGAGCAGGTGGGCAGGCCAGGGCAGAATGCCAGCGGGCAGGAGAGCAGGGAAGGGCCTCCGTTAGCCAGGCAGAATCCCAGGGCACCCTGATGTTTGGTTCAGGTGTGATCTTTCATTCCTTTAGTGCCTCTCCTAGACTCACCTTTACAGTGTCAAAGGGGTGTCCTAGGACCAAGCCCAGAGCTCCTGTGGTGACAAGAAGATGCTATAAGTGAGGGCCTCATGCCAGGCCCAGGAAGCAAGTCTGTGCCAAGAGGAAAGAGGGATTCAGGCAGGAGGAAGGAGGGCAGGGCTTTCTCATGCATGTGCAACCCACCCTTCTGCCAGACTCCAGAGGAACCCCGCTGTCCCCCAGCCCCTCCGCACCAGGCACTGGGCTAGGCAGGCACTGGAGCAAAGGACTCAGACCCGGGCCCTGCCTGAGGATACACATGCAGAAGGGAAGAGCCAAGCAAAGACGCACGTGTCCTCAGCTGGAAGCCAGCACCTGAGTGTCTCACTGCTCGTGGAACCCTGGGGGTCTGGAACCAACCTCCAACGTTCCCGCCTCCCCGCTAGCTTTACTCCTTCCTTCCTCCAACTCCTAATGTTGTCGTCTGGATCCAGAGCAGGCCCCACCCTCCTGGCGCTGGACCCCCTCTCCAGTTGGCAGTGCAGAGCCTCATGAGGGTCCTTCCTAGGAGCCAGGCTAGCACGAGGGCAGGATGGTCCCCCTGCCCTGCCACTTCTGCACTTCCCAGTCTTTTCCTCCATAACAGAGGCTGGTTCTGGAGCTTGGGGGGAAGTCACATCCCCAGGAGGCAGGTTCAGAATGTCCCTCTCTTTCTCCTAAGAGGAAGGTCACCAAGAAGCTGGGCTGGGCCCACAGGCATAGCAGGCCTGGGAGTGCAACCCATTGCAAGGTAGGGCAGAGGCCCAAAGAGGAACTCAGGTTAGCAGGTGAGGTCAAAGGTGAACTTCCTCCCTGAGCCCCTGGGTGGGCCCGGAAGCTGGGCTGGTGGTGCAGGCTGCTCCTTTGGCTCTCCCGCCCCGGGCAGGTGTCAGGCAGCGTGGCCTTGGACTTCCCACCTGTGCCTTCCTCTCTTCTCTCCCTGTTGGCCACTTGCAGGAGCTCTGGGGACAGCTGTCTCTGGGACACTCCAGGGGAGCCAGGACTTTGGCATCAGCTCTTCCCATGTCACCCAACTTTCCCAGGAAGTGATCTGCCATTGGGGGTGACGTGACAGAAGGAAGAAAAAAGTCTCACCAGAGATCCAGCCAGCCACAAACTCCTCCACAGGCATTGTCTGGGCAGAAACTGACGGCTCCAGAAAAGGAGAAGGTGAAAGTTTGATTCCACCCTCTCCCTCCCCCGGGCCCCAGGGTGATCACCTCCCACTAATGTTTAACCCTGGCTGGAGAGTGAGAAGTGGCCTGGTGCCCGGAGAGGGGAGCAAACCAACTTCGGTGACCCTGACAGACTGGAGGAGGTGTGCAGAGTGCAGAATCACACAGGACAGGGAGGATGGGCCCACTGTGGCCTGATCCCCCCACGAGGGCAATGAGGGCCTTCTCACTGCGTAGCCAGGGATGGCAACTGGTCTCAGCCTCCTGGATGGGTCCCTCCAGGGCTGCCTTAGTTGGCATGGGGCAAGGCCCTGCCTGCCCGTGCTAGCTCAGCTCAAACTCCCATTCTTCCCCACAGGAACTCACCAGGCCTCCCCACCCCAGGACAGGCAGTGAGGCCAGGTGGAGATGGAACATGGCCACCAGGGGGCAGACCCGGCCTGCGGTCGCCTGTGGCATGGGAGCCGCCAGAGCCAGGACAGGGTGGGAACAACCCAGGGGGTACTCAGCTCCCAGCAGTGACTCACCCGTGCCGGAAGCCAGGGGCTCTCTCCAGAGTTGTTTACGACTCCCCATGTGAGTCAGAACACAGCCTCTCTCCACCTCCTCTCTCCCAGGAGAAAGACGGGGTTTTGATTAGATAAAGAGTCCTGCATCTATCTGCAATGGCCCCATCCTGCTCAGAGTCAGAACCAAAATCCGTTCTAGGCTCTACGAGCCCTGTCGGTGCCACCCATTCTACTCGGGCCTCACATCCAGCCTCCCTGCAAACAGGCTCCCTTCTCCAGCCCTTGGCACTGGTTGGTCCCTCTTCCTGTGCACTCTCACCCCCACCTCTCTTAATCCTGGGCTCTAATGTCGCCTCCTCAGTGAGGCCTACTCTGATCATCTCCTCTCGTACTGCGATTTGCCCCACCCAGCCAGCATGACCTCTGACTCATGAGGTAATACATCCCACCCTGTAAATGCCTCAAGGTCTCAGAGGCTATGCATCTAAGATAGCAAGGGTTCATGCGACTGCTCCCTGGACAGTGTGCCCAGCCTGGGTTTCCGACATAGACATATACTTCAGAGTGGGAAGGGTCCTTGGAGGTCATCGAGTCCAAACAGAGGAGGAAACTGAGTCTGGGAGGGGAAGAAACTTGTCCAGGCCTAGTCAGGACCAGGACCCAGACTCCTGACCAAGCCAAAAGCCCATCACCCTTCACGGCCAGGGGGCGCTGCAGTACAGGCCGCTGCCTGCAAAGCCTCTACCCAGCCCCCGGCACAATCTGGATCCCGGACACGTCCCAGGCGGGGGAACGGCCCTAAGTCACAAGGTCAATGCTTGCCAGAGCTCGCGCCCCCAACCCCGATTTTCTGATTTCCTTGAATCTTCGCTACATCCTGTTACAGGTCAACGATCGGGCCTGCAAGTTGCGCAACTCGTCCTGGGTCACTAGAGTCGGCAGCGAGGGTGGTTCGTGACGCTACCAACCCAGGGGTGTGACCAGACGAGCGGCGCGCGCGCCCGGGGCGTACGGGCATGCGCGGGCCCGCGGGGGGGGGGGGGGGGGCTTGGGGGGCCGGGGGGGGGGGGGGGGGCG